CCAACTGTGATTTTGTTGGGAGAACTTTTTTGCTCAGCCATTAATAGTATATTAATAGCTTTTAAAAGCTTCTGAAGTGACCAGAACTTGGTATCATTTTGAGATCTTAAGCTTCCGAATGAGAGCTCAAGAATACAGCCAGTTCACATGTGTCCATGCATACAAAAGTCTCAGATGCCAGCCCATATCACTGGCTATCTCGTCACCAAGCTAATGGAGGACACAAGAAATCAATTAAAAAAAAAAAACAACAAATTAAAAGTGATGCATTTTTCAGTTTAAGTCAATAAAGGTGATTCCGGTCCAGACAAAAACTCTGTTACTTAGAACCCGGCACTTCCAAGGACGTTATTTTTTTTGATGTCAAAGGGAAAAAGTCTTGATCTGTAAACACTTTGATGGGGGCAGGCTCAGGGAAATCCCTCAGCTTCTGCATTAAGTACGCCATGAATTTCTATGATCGCCATTCTTACCTGAGGTACTGGTTTTCCATGCAATTATTCTTTTTACACACTGAAAAACACGGGCTTCCCTGATACTTGAGCTTCTGCCCGCACAACCCTCAAGCACAGCCAAGCCCAGGCACAAAGGGAAAGGGACTGTGGACCTGCCCTCTGGCGTGTAACTCAGGTGTGATTTATGACCTGGGCGTAGCACACTCGATGTCCAAGCCATGGCAGCCCCTCCAGCTCCCTGCAAACACACATCCTTTCCTTGAGAGGAGAGGGAAAAAGGGTATCTTCAAGCAGCCTGGAAAACCACAGAATTCACGAGTCTACCCAAAAAGGAATTGTCACCACATCAGATTGAGAGGACACGGAGGTTTGCATTTGTCTGCTTGGTGGTGAGCTTCAGCTTGATGTCTTTAGGCAGCCATCTGGTTTCCACAGGAGCTGCCACGGTTCTCCTTACAACCATCGCAGCACACAGACACCGCACTGAACTTGACTGACAGAGCCCTCTGCCCTGAAAACCTGTCCAGCACCATTTCCACCTTCCATGTGTGAGCGGGTGAAAGTCGCCTGTGTGGTCCATCCAGGCTTTCTTCCCACCTCCAGCAAAGGAGGACACAACTCGGAGGCTGAGCCGTCCCTGGCAGGACGGGCAGAGGAGCTCGAGGGCGCTGGAGCAGGTGACAGGAACTGTGGGAGATAACCCGACCACATCGGCAGCTGTGGATGTATCACGTCCCACCCCACGTGCAAACCCCACAGATGAGAATTCAAGACCTTTTCATCACGGCATCATCCCAGCTTCCAGGTGATCCCCTCCTCCTCGTGGGCGACTATTTTTGAAGCTCTTGCTGCGTCTTCTCCCTCAACCCTCTGTTTTTATTCAGCATAATAGAAGGTTTGGAACTGGAGCCTGCCCTCAGGCTCCCATACTACCAGGCACTGTCCTCGCTTGTACTAGAAAAATAACCCAAGAAATAATTAATAGTTACTACTTAGAATAGATCTAATCTGAACCTTGAACCAGTGATTTAGCAAGAAGCGACCCACAGCCTGGAATTATCTAGTGTGCTTACTCCAACAGCTTGATTTTTTTTTTTTTTAATTAAACCTCTTGAGCAGCTGAACAAACTAGAACATCAGCCTATGCCACCGTTTCCAGACCACAGGGACAGAAATCACTGTCCCACAGACCGCTCCCACACACCCCACCCCACCCCAGCCGCCTGAGCAGGAGAGGGGGACGCAGCGGCGTGGGTGGGACCCCACCAGCGAGGCAGCGTGGACAGGCACCCATTCAACAGCACATCTCGCTAGCCCGAGCAGGGGGCTCACCGCTCACCGCAGGGTGCTGCCCCTTCAGCCATACCAGAAGGACAGGAGGAAGAACACAGGCTTCACAACCCGGCAAGCAAGCAGTGAGCAGCTTCCAAGGCGGAAGGGAGTGATGACTTCTGCTAAACAACTTCAAAGAGGCAAACAAATAACCAGGAAAAACAAACCCATGAGCTTCCCGTCTCATTCTAAAAAGTGCATGCTGCCAAAATTCTACTTCCCCTTCTTGCTTAAGCCTCATGCTGAAGAGGACAAGTATTGGCGCTTTGCTCCCCTGCAAGGGACGCAAACAGCTCTGCCAGGTGAGCTCTGCATCGCTGGGCGTGAGCGCAGCAGAGCTGAAGTGAAGCCAACACTCCTCTCCTGCTGCCGGGTGGTGGGTTTTGTCTTTGGGACAACTCTGTTTCTCCGTGAGCGCTGACGGAGCTTCGCCCAGAGTAGCACTCAACATCCCCGTGGCGAGAAAGCGGTGAGGGGGGTGAAGGGGGGCAGAAACAGATGCAGCCATGAATCGTGTCCTCTGTTCCACTTCTCACATGACAAGCCGCAAAATGCTTTAAACAAAAAAAATTAGAAGTTATGCCATGTGATAAAGATCAAGATAAATTAGTTTTGACAAGTCTCTCCTGTAAAGGTCAAAGCTTTATTTGTGAGCCACTGGCTGCGGAAGCGAAGCGATGCTCCTCCCGCAGCGCTGCCTGGACACAGGACCAGCGCCCACACAATTCCTACTGCAACGCAACACCGGAGGCCACGAGGGTGGTCACGGTCCACAGCAAGAATTTCCAGTGGACCTAAACAGACTGTCGTCTACATGGAGACTTTCACCTCTAAACACAACAAGTGTTTTGCAGCTCCAGATGTCAACTCACAGAAAAAGTATGAACCGAGGTCCTGCCGCAGGGCTGGCTTCCATTTCCCTCTGCTGCAGCAAAGGGACCAAACCGCTTCTCATGCCCCATTGCCGGCACTGCTCCTGAACTGAGCTCAATTATTTCTCCTGGGCCTTGTGACACAGTTTTGCCATCTCCACTCGCCAGGCCAGCCCTGGAAACGGCAGCTCCTTCCCCCTCAGAAGTCAGTGCCCACCAGCAAAGCCGTCTGCTGGCACAGCCTCAGTGAAGGCAGCCGTGGCACACCAGCCCGGCCGGACCAGCCTCCCTCACCAGCGGCACAACGGCAGCCCACAGGCAC